TCTCCTCTCTTTTCTTTTTTCATTTACTCTTTTCACAACATGTGCGTAGGCACCCTAATGGCATTTTTTTTTTTTTTTTGGTTTTCTTTTTGTGGGGATGTAAATGCTATAAACTGCAATTAGGTTTGGGTTAAGAAGCTAACTGCAGTATTGAAAATTGCATACCTAGACAACCAGCACCTCTCCCTTCCACCTAATTTGTTACAACTTCAAACTAGATAGGTAGCATTCAAATAAACTGAATGGGAAATTTCCTAATAATAGGCATAATTCATCTTAGACATTTGCCTATAATTTGTGGAATTTTGATATAGATTGTAGATTTGTATTTTGAAATCTCCTGCAAGAAGTTCAAAGTGTGGACTTAGATTCTTTTTCCATCCTACGTGGAATGTTAATTACCACATTAAAAAGATAGCATGACTGTTGCTGGGGTATAGTTCAAGTTCGAAGAAGGTAACAAGAAACAGAATAGTATTCTCATTGATCAAGCGTTTTGGCTGGGATCTTCAAATATAGGTAATTCTCAGTCAATAAATTGAATCATTCCCTAGTAAGAGTGTACTGCTCAAGATAAAGCCTTTCCTAAAGTGTCTTGGAACAATCTTCATATCTCCCATCTCCTTATGTATTTTGTCACTTGAGAGTAAATATGGCACAGGGGTTACAGTAAAATTCAAGGCCCAAAAGGCTTGCTTGCTTAGTGAGCTGAATTACAGTAGTAATAGTCTTGCCCCATACCATCTCTTGCAAAATGTAGTATATGGTAATGGTAAGTTGTATTTAAACAAAGTAGGAATTTGGTAGCATCCTTTCAGATGCTACTAAGGCAGTGTTAGCTATCATAGGACAGTGTCCAACAGGACCACTCTGCTTATACAGTTGACAGAGCAGTAGCATGAATATACAGCATAAGCTGGAGTAACAGGTTTTCCAGGGAAATTGCACCTACTTATGATATTAACCTTATGCTAGACATAACTTATGCTAGTGCTTAGTTTATTTAAGTACAACAGCTCTGCTGGATACTGCCCATAATCTAAATTTTAGGTGTTAAACCTTAAATAACTGATGATAAGCAGTTCAAAGCAGCTAACACAGTGTTTATTCTCATTCCTTATGTTTAAGGGGACTGTAGCTCTTGTGAGCCATAGGACATGGAAGAGCAAGGGTGTGATAAAATAATTCACTCATACCTTAACCAGTCATACTTCTTTTAAGACTCATTATGTTTAGCCAGATTTTGGAATTAATTCCTATTTTGACATTCGGGTTGCTGGCCACCAAGTTTCTTTAAAAATACTGAAATGGTCACAGCTGTTTTGGTTTTATGTATATTGGATACATTTTGTTTTTGAGGGCAAATCTGTTTTCATACTTAAAGTTCTAGAAAGAAAGAAATACAAATAACAAAAGTTAAAGGTAAAGGTTTCCCCTTGATATGAAGTCCAGTCATGCCTCACTCTAGGGGGTGGTGCTCATCTCCGTTTCCTAGCCGAGGGAGCCAGTGCTTGTCCGCAGACCGTCTCCGTGGTCATGTGGCCGGCATGACTAAACACCGAAGTGCACGGAACGCTGTTACCTGCCCACCGAAGTGGTACCTTTTTATCTACTTGCATTTGCATGCTTTCGAACTGCAAGGTTGGCAGGAGCTGGGACGGAGCAACGGGAACTCACTCCGTTGTGCAGATTCGAACCGGTGACCTTTCAGTCAACCAGCCCAGCAGCACAGCGGTTTAACCCACTGCACCACCTGCATCCCTAACAGAAGTTACTGACACTTTAAAAATGTGTCAATTGCAGTAACAAACTGCACCAATTTAAGAGTGATTTTCCATGAAAATGTTTCATATAAATACCATCAAAACAGTTGTCTTTTTTTGGAACTGCACATGATGAATGGAACGTGTAAGTTATTCACCAGTGCATCATTATTGCAAAGATGATATAAAGTATGTATGTATGTATGTATGTATTTATTTATTTGGGATATTTCTGGATGGCTCACAGCAAAATCTATACATACAGCGATATAAATATAAACATAACATAAATATAACATACATACCCCAAACAATAATAAACTAGATATCCCACGACTAAAATAAATAAAATAATTATTTAAATAAATTAAGTAGATTAAAATAATTAATTATAATAATTAAAATCTATTAACATTAAAAGTAGAAACCTGTAGCCTAATTTTCTTGTTTCTTGATTGAAGTGTCTGCTGACCTGCCTGCTCCACTTTAGATTGCAGGTGAGGTTCACATGTCTTGAACATCCCTTCATATAAAAAACTGGTCCATCTAGAAATCTGACACATGCGGGGGAGGGGAGGATCTAAGCAAAATAGTTCTCTGTGCATAAACATGCTTTGGTTTATCATTCCAAATCCAAAGATCCTGTCTGCATTCTGAAGTGGCACCATCCAGATACACTGTATTTGCATAAAGAATTGTATTATGCATTAATCAAAAGAGGGAGTTACAATAGAGAGCAGAAGAGGATAGACTAAATAGGAGTTGGGAGGGGAGGTATAAGTGTTGGAACATAAAGTTCACATTGTGTTGATCCAACAGAGGTTAATTGTTCTTGATCTGAAGCATTTCTTCGTTCTGCTGCAATTTATTTTATTCTACTGAAAACCTGAGTATACAATTCCAGCAAATGCTGTTATTTTTGCATTGTATTTTATATTTTTTGAGCTGGAGTATGTTAGGACCCCAATAAGGATGATTACATGTGAACTCAAGCTTCAGTTTCAGCTGAAGATCCGAATTAGATTCATTTGTTACTGCTTTTTACTAATCAGTTACAAATAAACTTAGTATCTTTAGATATCTTTGTATCTAGCACCTAGATTGCCATTTCTTGTAGGATCAATGAATTCAGGTACTACCAATACCTGCCTTTAGTTTTGTCTGGTATATATATTAGATCTATTGCTTTTGTACATAATAACTGGAAGTGGAGCTGCTACTTCCCTGAGGCTTGCTTTGCAATAGTGTGAAGTATCAAGTCCTTTATTAAGTTCAGTTACCATAATTGTCTTGTACAAAATATGAGATAAATTATCAAGACAGAATTAATTTTTCATAGCATCCCACATGTTTGTGGTTGTAACTTCAAGTTTAAATCTAGAAATTTTTATTCTTAGACCACAGATCCTGGCATTTTAAACATATACATTATAAGGAGTAGAGGGAATTCACACATGATTGTGGGGAATGAGAGAGGCATTTGTTCTTGGTGCGCATTTCCAGGGCATACCAGTTTAGACTCATGAGGAATGGGTGGGCTTGGATTCCAGACAATGAGATGGGAGACACGGAGGAGCTTATCTCAAGGCCACCCTCTCTATGGGTTCAGGCAGACTCTGAGAATAGGCAGAATGTACAGCTGTTGGGAGAAGGCATGGGACAGCAGTTCTAGGAGTTAGATGAGGCTGGTATGACTCTTGACCCTATGATGTGGCATCAGAAGAGAAGGGCTGGCTAGCTAGAGGGCTGGCATACCAAGAAGAGGTTAAGGCACCACTAAGGGAGTCCTCCCAGAAGGTTGGGGCCCAGACTTGCTCTGAAGGAAGATTCCTGTAAGTAGTTGCTATAATGGGTTCAGTGAACTGCTCTGTGCATGCTTTGAGACACTTCCTTTGTTGGTTGTGCTTACTGGAAGTGCATTGGATAATAAAGATCTTTTTGCCAAAGAAAGGTTTGTTGTTTTGGAAGTACACACGGGGACTCTAGCTCCTGCCAATGATTCACCCAAGCTGATGTTTGGCTACTCTTGTTTATCTGATACATAATTGCTTTCATGTGAAGTATCACTAAAAATGCTGTTTTACATTAAGTTGAGTTCTCTCAGTGATACATGATCTGTGATGGTGTCCAGCACATAGGTCATCACTTGATTTGAGTAATAAACATGAATATTGTAAAGGGAACCTGTTTACTGTTGCTACAGATGTAACACTGAAGCATAGTTAAGGTCAACAAGGGAAGGAAGATTCACACTGCAGAGCTGAAGAAGGGGAAAGACATACCTGGCTTAACTATACTTAAAAGAAATCAGCATTATTACATTTGCACTGGATAAGCCTGATAATATAACATGCCTGTTACTTCAAAGATTAGAATTTGGTTACTGAAGTCCTTTGTTAAGTGGCCATGGGCTCAATATCAGAAAGTTGATGCAACTTTGGAAAGCTCTTGCATGTTTTGGTATTCACAAGCTTTGATTGCTATCTGTTAAAGCATGTGGGGGGGAGGGGTACTTCTTTGTACCCTTCCTGATACAACATACAGGGTTGATCCCTGTTTTACTGTAACAGCAAGTACCTCCTGGGACACTGATCCAGCTGAACTTCTGTTATTTTACTGGATTTCATTTTGGACCTGAACTGTGAACCTCCTCTCTCACATAAATCCACCTATTTTAAAAATATTCAAAACAATTTTGCACAGACATTTGGTGTGCAGTTGTTTGTTTTTTTCAAGGGGAGGTGGTAAGCCAGTGACAGCCCCTCCAGTGTGCTACTTGGCCTCTTCAAGGGGGTTGCATCAGGTGCCAAATCTGAAAAAAAAAGTTTAAAAGGGGAAAGCCGTGGCAAGCCAAGAGGTGGCTAACAAGCAGAGCAGGAAGGGGGAACAGGGTCTTACTGAAGATACTGGCAACACAGGGTGCTGGCTGGAGAACTGAAGGGGGGAGCAGTTCATGGAGAGCATGACTTTCACTTGGACGCACCTTATTCTCAACAACCTACTGGGGCTGATCGCCAGTGTGGGTTAGTGTAACATGTAAACCAACCCAAATACGTTGAATTTTGCATAAGCATTCACTGGACTAACTGAAGCATACTCCTGCATTGATAGGTTTCTGTGTGTTGATGGTCCCATTTCTGATGTATGTGCTCCGTCTGGCAAGGTTTTTGGTTTTCTCATCTCCCTTGTGCTTTGACCCTTGTGACTTATATTTTCCTTTTTATCTTTTGCTTTCAGGAGTTCTATGAGCATACAAAAACACTTTGGCACGATGAAGGTGTGAAAGCCTGCTATGAGAGATCTAACGAATATCAATTGATTGATTGTGCACAGTAGTAAGTACAACATCTAATTGTTTATTGCTGTTTGTTGGGGAGAGAAGGCAGTTCTTCCCTTAATTATTCATTGAAATATAATAAGTTTATTGCAAATTGATGGGAGAAGATTTGATGAAATATTTAAAGCTTGGGCTAGAGCCCCTGAACATAGTTAACTTAATAAGCAGTCTGGCTTTCTGTTTCTGCCTTGTAGCATTTTGGTTGCGCATTGTGCTCTTTGCAAAACACCAACCATCTTGCATGTGAGAAAAATTATTTGGTAATGGTTTCATTGCATTAATGTGTAATAAAACTAAAAAGTCCATTTAATATCACTAATCAGTTGAAGACAGTATCTGTAAAATCAATGTGCAAAATTTGTATAGCCATTTAGAGGTTAGTTGACATAAAATTCCTTCAGTATTTCTATAGACTAATTTGCAACAGTTGGTGGTTTTGTCCTTTTACAGGAGAGGGTTGATACTATGAGTTGCGTGTGGATCGATCGGAAACTTCTTTCTAGAGTGAAAATATTAAGCATGAAACATCTTTCAGCTCTAAATGTATATATTACTTTACTTGGTAAACTTTATATGAAACTAGATCTTTTGCTTAAACCAACTTCTTGCACAGTTTCATTATTTAGTTACTGCTTCTAGTTTTTATCCTGAGAACCGAGAACAGAAGGAAGCTCATAGTTTTCAGCATTACTATTCATCTCATGCCCTTCTTGGGGTAATAGAGAGAAATAAACAGGTCTTGAATGGTTGCTTGCTTTTGTTGAGACTTGAGATAAGAAATTCCCTTTCTCTGAGTTCTACCATGCAGCAGAAAGTTAGAGATGGAAACTTTGCCACCAAACTAAAAAACAATACTTGCTAATTAGAAAACAATACTTGCAATATGGTTAGGTAGTCATTTTAGTATTTTAGAAATGACATTTATTTTTAAATTGGAATGTATCAAAATGTATTTAGCTCCCTCATTGGGAGGAACATGGTTCAATGGTAGCTAAGTATCTGGCTCTCCCAATTAAAAGGATTGAGAAGCAGCTGATGTGAAAGACTTCCAGAGCTGTTTGAAAGCAACCACTAAGGATCCACTTTGGAGTGGGAATCCATTGGATCCCCTGGGCTTGGTTCCCTGGACTCTGGTCTGCTTTGAAGTGACCCAGAGCCTGAGTTCCTGATGACCGTGCCCAGTGCTTGTGTCGTGCTTACCAGGAATTGAGCCCCATGTGCTGCACAAGGGGCTTTTCCGTGCCCAGCGCTGCTGCTATTGGCTGTGCTGGGCAGGGAAGAATGAAGGTCACTGAGAATGGGGCTTGGTACAGCTACTTGCAGCACCTGTCTTCTGCATCCTGAAGCCACTCTTGGGGTGGCTGCACCCGATGAGGAAGGTGACTGGTTGCACACCCAGGGATCTGTGAGCATTTGTGGACTTCTCCAGGTTCACCTCGGTTTGCAGAACCAGGCCAAAGCATGAGAGGAGTCTGTGGATGCTGGAGGGACAGATTCCAAAAGGGTTCATCCCATCACCACCACTCAGTGAGGACTGTATTGGGGTAGATGGGTAAGTAGTTGCTACAAGGCAGCTTCTTACATTCCTCATACATAGATACTTTATTTGGGGATTTAATAGTGACATTTTACAAGTTTGCCATATCAAATGAGGGAAAAAAAACTATCTTCCCCTAAGTATTCAACATGTGTCCCAGGAAACAGGATGAGAAGGATAACTGCTCATGGTTAGATAGCTTTTGGGCTATTTTTATTGCCAAATTGGTAGAGAAGAAATGTTGACAATAAAAAAATAGGATTTTGGTCTAGTTTTGCAAAGTTTAAGGCAGGGTTTGGGAAAAACAGAGCAGTATATGACAAACGCGAATTTGTTCACAGCTGCTTGACTTGATGAGCTGCTGCTTCCGAATGTGCATTCTGACTTCTCAGTGTTCTAGGTCTTGACAATGGCCCATTGGGGTTGTGTCTGTGTGTTTTCAGGAGTGTGGCTAGAAACTGGATTGCTTGTTCAGTTGGTTGTACTGGAAGGGCAGTGTTTGGATGATCAGAATATGACACAGTAGGATGGCTCCATGTTGGAGCTAGAATAAAAGGTCAGGAACTTTGAATAAAGGGCTTGCAGAAGGGATCGCATTCTGTATATACCAGCATGTTTTGTTATGAGATCTGTATGACTGTTGAGCCTTGCTCAGCTTCTAGCAGCTTAAGAAACCAAATGTGGTTTCAATACACTGCCTCATTCCATTCCATGCTGGAGAGTGAATCCTATCAGTGACTTGCATCAGGCCTCTCAGAGTTCTGAATCCTAACACACTGCAGTGCTTGTAATACACTGCTCTGAAACAGGCACTTTTTGATAACCTTGTCCACCTTTTGGGATGTATGCCTAGTGCTGCAAAATACTGAGTGCATAACAAGGGAGGAAGTGCGGCTTTACTGGAAGAGCACCTGCTCTGCATGCTGAAAGTCCAAGGTTCAGTTCCTAGTATCTCTCTATTAGAAGGATCAGACACTTGGGTAGGTGTTGCAGTCAGAGTAAACAATACTAGTCTAGATGGATAATCTAACCTGGTATAAAGCAATGTACCAGGTTCTTCTGTACATAGTTCATATATATGGCTGGCATGATCAGCAGGTGAGAAGTCAGGCCCTCTTTTACCATCCAGAAGAAAGAACCCGTTTAGGATCAGACAACGGCATTGAACGAGGCAGATTGTTGCCTTTCAGAACCGGTCTTTTCTAAAAGGATGAATGAATACCAAGCTGCAGTTGCTGTACAATGATAACTTGATCTTTGTATTCCATGCTTTCATCAGCGGAGTTTTATTTGCTCTCATTTGCAGTCCACTGCTCTGCTAAGATGACAGAGCTGGGCCCTCACGTCTGTCATAGCCACTTAACTTTCAGAGGCTTTAAAAAAGTGAATTAGTTTAGACCTTGAGCTTCTCCCTAAATAAGAAATCATAGAGGAAGTTTGGATTAACTTCCACATTATCTTTCTCTGCCAGAAAACTTCCCTTTTATGAATTCCAAAGGGGTATCAGTGTTAAGTCTGTCTTGTGGCACTGTAAAGACTAACAAATTCAATACAGGAGTTACTTCTCCAGGCAGCTTTGTTTTCAAGTGTCAGGTTTAGGAGCAGAAATTTCTCATCTAATTTCAGTGTAATTTGTTCTTTTTCTAATCTCTGTAACTTAGAATATAGCAACAGTAAAGTTGAGCATATTTCTTCATGCTTGCTATGTATGCCTCCAGAGCCACTGTGTGACACTTCATGGGTATCTAGAATGCCCTCCTGAACAAAGTTCAGCTAGTCTAAGCTTTTATTCTTTTAGCAGCAAGTGAAAGTGTTTTTATTTGACCAGACATTTTAAATTAATAGGCATATTGTTAGTCACGCTTCTCAGTTTTACTGTTTTTATAGTTATAATAGGTTATTCATTTAAAGTTGTATGCATACAGCACTATCCTACATTGCCTCTGAACCTGGTTGTCTTACCCAAGTAGGATTGACAGTCCACCCAGTAGGAACTAGCAGAGCTCCCTTGTGTAACCTCCATTGGCCCAGCCTGTTCTAGAAATGAGGGTTGCCACTCATTTCTGGATGTTTCTCAAACCACAGTTTCTCATTGCGCTAGTGGCTGCCCAGTTAAAGAATACTGTCAGTGTTTCCCTGAATGAAGGAAGCAATTAAGAAGTTGTAACATAGTTTAACATATTTTAAAACAAACAAGCAAATAAACTCTTTTAGAGCTCACCTACAATTAAACACACAGATATAAGCAGCAGCCACAAAATGGTTATTTAGCATTGGAGTAGGTGAATCTTCAGGGTCTTTTTAAAAGCCAGCAGTGATGAGGACATATGTAGTTCTCAGGGGAGAGAGTTCCAGAAGTTTGAGGAAAGTTGTGTCCCAGTACCTGTCAGCTGAATAGTTCTTGATGGTCAGCCAGAGAATAGGTCCTCTGCTTGGGCAAAGTTATATAAAGGGAGATGTTCCTTGGATAGTATGGTCCCAAAACCATTTGAGGCTCTAAAGACTAAAAGCAGCACCTTGAATTAACATGTCGCCCTGAGCGTTTGCACGGAAGGACAGGATATAAATGTTTGTAATAAAATGAATAAATAATAAGTGGCCAGTTAAAAGGATACAACATAGGAGCGATATTCTCTAAATGTCTAACTCCCACAGTCTAACCTGAGGGTAACAAAGGCATATGTCACTGTGGTTCGGTTTGCTTTCTCAAGATAGGACCACAGCTGCTAAATCAGCTTAAGCTGGTTAAAAAACAAAAACTGGCAACTGATATCACTCACATCTCCATGGGCAGTAATTAGTCCAAGAACACTCCCAAACCATACTTGACTCTTCAGGAAAAGTGTGATCCCAGAGTCAGAGGTAAACCTCCATCCAGATTAGTGAATTTGCCAACACAATACTTAATCTTATTAAATTTCAGCTTGTTAGCCATCATCTTTTTCAGTACTGCCCCTAGGCACCTGTCCAAGGTTCAACTGCCTTCCTGGGATAGATGGTGGGAAAGGAGGTAGAATTGTGCATATCATCTGCAAATTGATGAAACCTCAGCCCAGACCTCCAGATGATTTCTCCTAGACTTTTCATCTAGACATTGAAAGGCATGAGCAACTAGACAAAACCTTATCAATGTCCTTGATAACTGGATGGAACAAAAGTTGGAGGGGGGTTAGAGCAGCATGTCATCTAGGCAGATTTAGATGACACTACTTGTTGGGGCCATCTCCCCAGCAGAATTGGAGCCATGGCAATATTGTGCCATCAGTTCCAGAGAGATTGTCCAGAAGGGCAAATCAATGGCATCAAAAGTTGCTGAGAGGTCTAGTAGAAACAGAGTCACACTCCACAATACATTTCACATCTGCATATTGATGCCACCTCAAGATAGATCTTGGTGTGACTTCTCCCAGCAGTTCCATATCGACACTGAAAAGTATAGGGAAGAAGGTGGTAGTTTAAGA